GGGGCCTGCCGGGATACGTTATCCACCCCCCGCGAGGCCCTGGTGCATGCTGGGATACTTGCCCCCTCCACTGACCGCGCGGGGCATGCTGGGAGGTCTTCGCTACTCTATCCCCGGTGCATTCTGGGATGGGTGGGTGGATGGACTGATGGGTGGACCCCTCCCGCGACCCCCTGCAGCCCGGGGCATTGTGGGATGGATTGGCCACCCCGGCTCCGGTGCATGCTGGGAGGTGTAGTCTCTGCCCCTCATCCCGGGATTCCCGGAGTCCAGCCCCAGCCCCGCCCCGCCCCGTTACTGTAATGCTCCGAGTGTAAGGGGGTGGTGGTGCACACACACGTATTCCCAGGGACACACGTGTGCACGCGCAAAGGGCCACATGTACACATGCACCCAGGCCTGTCAGGCTCATGTATGAACACAGACACATACATGAACACGTGTATGCGAACACCCACGGGCACAGGCGTCTATACGTGCATGCTGCTAAGCACACTCGCCTGCCAGGCACACACTTGCACATACGCATTTGAACATGCACACACACATGCAGGCCTCTGCTCACAGGTATGAATATATATGCATATGACAAGAAACACGTGAAACTCGGTATTCGTATAATCAGATGCTCACACGTGTGCGCCACTGTGTGTGTGTGTGAGGGGGTGTGTACAAGAGCCATAGGAAGACCGTGGGTGCCCCAGCACCTGCTCTGTGCACACGCATGTGCTGTGCTCTGTGAGCTACATGTGTTGATCCATGTGCACCCACCTGCTCCGTGTGTGTGTGTGTGTGTGTGTGTGTGTGTGTGGCTGAGGCACGTGCTGCATGTGTGTGCTGCAGGCAGGCACACGCACGTGCCACATGTCCACATACCGCCACACACGTGCATACACAGGTGCAAGAGGCTCCGTGTGTAAAACACGTTTGCTCTAGGCCTGCCTCTTCTCTGGGCTGGGGACGTGTGTGCAAGTGCACGCGTGTGCCCGGCGTGCGCGGGGCCAGGCGGAGCCGGCGGGACAGAGCGGCACCCCCCGACCAAGCAGCAGCACAGAGAGACCGGGCGCAGTGCGGACACGGGACCGCCAGGGGGCGAGTGCGGGGCACCGGCGGGGATGGGGGGGGGCAGGGTCGGGAGTGCGGGGCACCGGCAGGGCTGTCCCGGACGCCGGGGCTCTCAGGCCTGTGCGCGAGCAGGGGCGTGGCTGCGGGGGTCGCATGAGGACAGGGCCACGGGGCGGGGGGCTGTGCGCAGTGACTCCCCAGCCCTGTTCCCTGGAGCCCGTGGAAGGCCGCGCAGGGGAGCGTGGGAGCCCGGAAGCCTGGATCCGGTCCATGCGGGCCGGGGGGGGG